TGTACGTATATTAGAGGTTTGCATTTTAGACATTTTTCTTTAATTATTTATTAATTTCCTATGTGTTTTATTGGATGTTAATGGAAAAAAGAACTTTACTTAAATACTCATGTGATAATGTATTATTTCAATAATTTGATAACTTTTAATTAACGTTAACTACCGCTACGTAATGTTTTTTAATTGCATCACAATTAATACTCATGTACGACATATTCCCATGATAAAATTTTTTAAACAGACAGAAACTATTCAATTAGCATTAGAATGTGCAGTTGTGCATAAAAAATTCTTAATTTTTATGGATCCTTACATGACAATAAGATACAAATCATATATACTAATGCTAATACAGTGCATAATAGAATTTAAAGCCTTTTTTTAGTAATAAGTCTGTGCATAGAATTTGGATTGAGGTTTATAAAATAGCCGATTTTTGATTTTTTTATAAATTACCCGATCCAAACCCTATTATGCAGGATATAATCTCAATATATCTGACTTTCCGTGTGTTGGAATATCAAGTGATAGAGTAATATTATTCATATTTTTGACATCTTCAAGAACCACTTTGTATGAACTAAACTCATGTTGGTTTTCCTTATAAATGTGAGTAACGTGCAACTTGAATGCTGCTTGAACAAATCTTCTTAATGTATTTTGGATCATCTCTGAGAGTTCTAATTCTCTGGTGTTTGCAAGATACTTCTGTAAAATTTTTTTTGAAACACCATAGTCGATAAATCTATTTAATGTACTTTCATCTAGATATTCATTGTCATTGCTATAAAAAAAGGTGTTAATACGTATATAGCCAGACAGTTATATAATAAATTAAAATATTATACCTAAAATTCTTAATATAATCATGAGCGAGATTTCTGAGGTCTTTATTAAAAGTATGACAAAATTCATTAAATGTCATTTTGAATTTTTCAAGAAGCTGTTGAAATTCATCATCTGCAAGCTTGCAACTTGGTAATACTGTATCTACTAGGTGATCAATTGCCAATTGTGATGGGTTTCTAGTTCGAAGAAATAGACATTTCAACTCTTCTAACCAAATGCGAAGCCTTACCTAAATGAAAGATAGTGAGCTTTAACACACTAATAATCATCATGCAGATTAAAATGAAATTTTTATAGTGTAAAATAGACAAGCCACCGAAAAAACTAAATTTGAGATGCATTTTTTTTAGAGTTAGGGGGCAGCTTTAGAGATAGAATTTATAGTAAACCCCAAATTTTATTTTAATCCGATTTCATTATGATCCGTGATAGAAAAAATATTACCTCTTGAGATGATTCCTTGATGAACGATTCTTTATCTTGATTTGATAATAGAGTTGATTGTTCTCCAAATAGAGATTCTTTAAATGTAAAGGCTGATCCCAGTTTGTTTTTTTACTTTTATATATCATGTAGGCCATAGAGAGAAGATTGGGATGATCTGCAATAGATTTTGCAATCTCGAACATTGATGCATTTTGACGAAATACATCAGGTGGACCAAGTGCTAAGATTTATAGTTTGAAAAATGAAGTAAAATTATTATTAAATAATAAAGAGAACCAAATAATCCTTACT